GGGGCGGCAATGACCATACCACGGCGGAGATCCTCACGGCGGACACCACGGAGCAGGAGACCGGAGTTGTCACCAGCGCGGGACTCGGAGCAGGACTTCTTGAAGGTCTCAATGTCGGTAACCTTGGTCTTGATGACCTCGTTGGTGGTACCGATGATCTCAACCTCGCTATCACGCTTCAGGAGACCACGCTCGACACGGCCGGAGGCGACGGTACCACGACCGGGAATGGAGAAAACTTCCTCAATGGACATCAAGAAAGGCTTGTCAAGGTCACGCTGGGGAGTGGGGATCCAGGTGTCAACGGCCTCGAGGAGAGCGTCGATACGCTCGGTACCGATGTCGGGACGGCGGTCCTCAATGGCGCAGAGAGCAGAGCCGAAGACGATGGGGGTCTCCTCACCCTCGAATCCGTAGGTGCTAAGAAGCTCGCGCATTTCCAGCTCAACGAGCTCCAGCATCTCGGGGTCATCGATGGCATCGACCTTGTTGACGAAGACAACGATCTTCTGGACACCGACCTGACGAGCAAGCAGCAAGTGCTCACGAGTCTGGGGCCTGTTGATCGCCAGTGTAAGCATATATACTGAATGGGGTTATTCTTGAGGTTTCTGCGTACATCTGACCGTCGGAGGCGGCGACGACAATGATAGCACCGTCCATGTTGGCGGCACCAGTGATCATGTTCTTAATGTAATCGGCGTGACCGGGGCAGTCGACGTGGGAGTAGTGACGAGCATCGGTGGCGTACTCGATGTGGGCAGAGGAGATGGTGATACCACGCTTACGCTCCTCAGGAGCCTTGTCAATGGCACCATACTCGAGGAACTGAGCGAGACCCTTGGAGGCCTGGTGCTTGGTGATGGCAGCGGTCAAGGTGGTCTAGAGGAAACGTGTGAGAAGTTTTCGGACCATATCGGGGAAAACATCAACGCAGCGAGGGGGGAGGAGGGAATTGTGGTCTAACCTTGCCGTGATCGACGTGACCAATGGTACCTTAGAATAGCAATGAGTACTTGCATTGATGGATCGTTAAGCGATGAAGATGGCAACCTACCGATGTTGACGTGAGGCTTGGTACGCTCGAAAGCGGTTGCCATACCACGGGCAGCCAGCTTGTCGCCGAGGAAGACATGCTGGATGGGGTTGACAGCGCGGGGGCGCAGCAGGGAGGCCCTGCTAGAGCGGAAAAGGAGGTTGGCAGATCTGGCGAGGCTGGACATGATGGCTACCCTGCGATGGAAACACAACCGGACAGGAATGGGAACAGGAAGAAGACGAGCTGAACGGCCGGGAAGTCGAGCAGCGCTTCTTGTTGAGCCCGGAAAAATTTAGGGAGGCGCTGACTCAGCCGTCAGCCAATCACACTTGCAGTATTGCGGAGTCGCCAGGGACGAATAACCTTGAAGGTTGGAGATGGCGTAGTATACCAGGTACAGGCATAGAACAACTCAAAGGCGGGCTATTTGATTACGTGTGGTTTTGATTTCTTTTTCTTTTTTTTTCCCTTTTTTAATTTTACTCATACGTATCTCTCTGTTTTATATAACGAGGTTATGCACGCTTCGTGCCCCCGAGCTTCCGCGATACCGGTAGTATAGCTTCGCTTCATGTGCCCCATATCCCGACCTGACAGCTAGAGCTGCAATACAAGGTACAGTATATCACACGACACCCGACATGCTCACAATGCCACCTTCGTTTTATCAGGTATAAGACACATCACGTCAATGGTGATGGAAAAGAAGCTTGATAAGGCATTTCCAAGCACCGATGATAGAGAGTGGTCCGTTATATGTACAGAACCAATACCACTCAAGGCCGTCAATAGTATACATACTAAACTCCATGAACTCATCATGTTTCCTTGACCCCTTAAACATCCTTCTTCACCACCAGCACCACATGCTTGCCCGGCTCTCCTTCCATGGGTCTGACCGGCAAGGCTTTGGCCTCCCGAACCGTCTCCATGACCCGGTCCATGAGATTCTTGACCTCCTCCACAGTAGGAGATCGCTTGTGCTTCTTTCTCGTCAAAATCAGCTCCACCTTCCGACCCTTCTCCAGAAAAGTTGTGAGTTGCTTCAAGCGATGTGCCAGATCATGAGCATCAATGGCCCAATTCAGTTCTAGCTGTTTAAGACCATCCTTGACAGGTTTCGCCTTTGCTTTTGCGAATTCCCGCAGCTCAAACTTGTTTACAACCTTGCAAATCGGCACTCCATCCCCACTACCCGGTGACACCTGCTGCAATGTTTGACTTGAACGGTCGATTTGTCGCAACGCATCTCGAAGACTGACAGGGGGGTCAAGGCTGTTGTTTTCGTTCACGATTTGGACATATAGCGCTCCGATCTCTTCGTCGAGGATGTATTGCGGCAGGGCACGAGGGGTAGCTCTTGTGCGGAATTTGAGGAGAGGAGTAGTCGGGCTGTAGGATCGAGTGGGGATTTCATTGATGCGGGGAGTGAGTTGGAAGAATTGAGGACGAAAGGCAGGTTGAGGAGTGAGGAGGATTTGGCGAAGAGCCCGAGTGGGAGGGACGAGACGGCGCATGTGCTTCATTTCCAAAAGTGACTGCGGCGCTGACACCGACAGACAACAAAAGAGGAGAGGAATTCGAAGGGATTATTGGACAAGAGCAGAGATCAAGATCGGGACGGAAGAACTGGGGATGAAATTCCAAGGGTGGCTATCATAGGCTGCAGCGAACCATGTGGTGAGGTCAATGTCCGGGAATAATAATGAGGCCGGGCTGAGTCTGGCTGCATGCGGCGACCGCCCACCAGCCACGGGGGGACTCCAACGGCACAAATCGAGCCAGTTACAGCCAGTTACAGCCAGCCAGTGGAAGCGGAGGCCCCCATTCGTTTCGAAAAAAAGACCCTGAGAGGCCAAGAATAATTAAGAACAAGTACTAACTGGCCTTCATTTGCCTCTCTCCGTGTCTCCTCCTCCTCCACCTCACCCTCATTCTTTCTTCTTCCTCCCTCCCTCTCTTCCACTCTCTCTTCCCTCCTCCCCATCCTCCCTTCCATTCGTTGGTTGGTCTTTTGCTTCCCACTATCTTTGTGGCCTGCACCGGAGGCGCCCGGACGATCCTATGCTTTCTCTTCGTTCCTACCGTTAATCGTCTTTCTTTCCCTTTATACCAACTCGGTCGGAATACCGAGAGCGTTGTCTGCCGGACGTAACGCTACAGCCTTTACCGAATACTTGGCTTTGTCCGCATGTCGACTGGTGTTGACAGTCGACATACTCCACGTACATCGTCCTTTTCCGCGTCAGGTTCTAGACCTAGCAGGCGTTCGGTGTCGCACCCTTCCGAACCCGCGATCCCCTTAGTCGCCTTGGACAAATCGATCGGCAAATCTCGTCGCAGTTTGTCCCACATGATGATGTCCCAAAGCCAGCGCTCTCGCTACCTGAAGACAGGTGCTATTGTCAGTGCAGTGCTTCTTCTGTTGCTATGGCTGTCGCCGTCCAAGCCCACAGTGAGCAACATTGGATCCCGTAAGTGACCACCCCCTATAACGGGGGAAGTCGATTTGGACTGACAGTCATTTTTCAGAGCCACCGTTGAATGGTGTCGCTCCCCTAACGGACAAGTGCACGAAACCTCATGACCCCTCCAAGCCTCTGATTCAGTATGCGCTTATGATCGACGCGGGCAGTCAGGGCTCTCGCATCCACGTCTACCGCTTCAACAACTGCGGCCCCACCCCCGAACTGGAGAACGAGGTCTTCGAGCAAACCGAGAAGAGACAGGGTGGCTCCGGACTGAGCGCCTACAAGGAAGATGCTGAGGGAGCGGCCAAGAGTCTGGACCCTCTGATGCAGGTGGCTCTCAAGTCCGTGCCCGCCGACTACCAGTCCTGCTCCCCCATTGCCGTGAAGGCCACCGCTGGACTGCGTATGCTTGGCCCCGAGATGAGCCAGAGGATTCTGGAGGCCGTGCGTACTCGCCTGGAGACCGTCTACCCCTTCCCGGTTGTCTCCCGTGAGATGGGTGGTGTGCAAATCATGGATGGCAGTGATGAGGGTGTCTATGCCTGGATCACAACCAACTACCTTCTCGGTAAGATCGGCGGTCCGGACGAGACCCCTACTGCTGCCATCTTTGATCTGGGCGGTGGTTCCACTCAGATCGTTTTCCAGCCCACGTTCCCCCAGAGCCCCTCGGGCGGTATGCCCGAGCACCTGGCGGATGGTGACCACAAGTATTCGCTGCAATTCGGCGGTCGCCACTTTGACCTCTACCAGCACTCTCACTTGGGTTACGGATTGATGGCTGCTCGGGATGCTGTACACAAGGCGATCGTCGATGCCAAGTTGGCCGCCAGCCCCGTTGATATGTCCTGGTTGAAGCAGCCGATCTCCAACCCCTGCATTGGACCTGGTATGGAGCGCGATGTCGAGTTGACCTTTGACAACGACCACCCGCTCGCCGGTAAGGTGACGGTGAAGATGGTTGGCCCGAAGCAAGGCGCTTCTGCGGCAGCTCAGTGCCGTGGCTTGACTGAGAAGATCCTGAACAAGGATGCTGACTGTAAGCTGGCGCCCTGCTCCTTCAACGGCGTTCACCAGCCGTCTCTGGAGAAGACTTTCGCCCGCGAGGATGTGTACATCTTCTCCTACTTCTACGACCGCACCAAGCCCCTGGGCATGCCTGACTCCTTCACCTTGGACGAGCTGCACCAGCTCACGTCGACGGTCTGCGCGGGTGAGCCCGCATGGGGCATCTTCGAGGGTGTTGAGGATGCGCTGCCCCAGCTGCGCGATCGCCCCGAGTGGTGCCTTGACTTGAACTTTATGCTGGGTCTGTTGCACACGGGATACGAGATGCCCTTGTCGCGTGAGGTGAAGATTGCGAAGAAGATCAAGAATAACGAACTTGGCTGGTGTTTGGGTGCTAGGTAAGATACCCTTTCTTATACTACTTTGGATCAATGCACGATACTAACGAGTGACAGTTTGCCCCTGCTGAGCCAGGAATCCGGCTGGACCTGCCGGGTGAAGGAGGTCTCCTAGACGAACAGACGTTAGGTGATGCAGCGACGACAGTTTAATCCACCTTGCGCATGTGCGCTTGGACGTATACATGTCTAATATCATGCAAATACACTAGATCATTGATTTATTTTTCCGTTCCATGTGTATTCTTAGACTTGGCTGGTGTTTGTTTGGGTATGATTATTATGTTATGCTTGATCTATGAATCCAGAGACTGTATGACATGTAGGCCGGAAACACTTTTGTAAACCCACTCCTTCTAAAATGCCAAGATGCGAAAAACCCAGACGAACTCTATAGTAGCGACCAACTTTTATAAACCAATTAGGAACCCAAAGCGCCAACCCATGCAATCAGCAGACTTTTCTTATATCTCCTCAATCGTCGGCTTCTCCTTCTCCGCCGAAGACTCCGCATTGCCCATCAAAGTATCCAGCACATTCGAGTCCTTGCCAGATTTCGGCCTCTCAGGCAGAACATGTTGATTGTCCTGACCACCCTGCGACTCGAGATGATCTTCCTCATCATCACCGGGCCGCTTCTCTTCGAGCACACCTAGTCCCAGATTCTGCACCCAATTAGCATCCCAATCACCAAACATGGGGATTTTATCACAATCGTACCATCTCAATATACCGCTTTCCTTCCATATCCTCGTCCTCGTCATCATCATCATCATCATCCCCATCTATTTCCAATCGCACATCCTTCGCCCTTCCCGCCGCAATCTCCTGTTCGAGCTTCTCATTCGCAGTTTTCATCTGCGGCAGGAAAGCAGATAGTCGGGACAGTAGGTCAGGGTTTTTGTTAATGCGGCCGATGCGTGGTTTAGGTATAGCAGGAATGCGCGGCATGTCGTCGGAAGTAGTAGTGGTCTCCTTCTGGCTTACTTCTTCTTCATCTTCCTCATCGTCGTCGCTGTCGCTATCACTATCGCTAGAACCAGACGAGGAGGTATAGTCATCATCATCATCGTCATCATCTTCACGGCCAGTGGTGGAGGTAGCGGTGTGTTGGAGATGGTCGTCGTCAGCGGGGGAATGTTCGCGCCGATCAAGATCACGAGCGGTAGAAGTGGTAGTGGTAGTGGTAGTGGAGGAGGGATCGGCTCCCTGGCGCTTCGTAGTGGAGGGCATATTATTGCGTGCAATAATGATACAAAAAAAAAATGGTTGGAAAGAAAGGTAACAGCAGCGGTGGTGATTGAAACAGGATCGACCGAAATCTGCGGGCAAATTGGCGCCGCAGTGGGGAAGCCCAACCCGCGGGATTGGCGGGGTCAGAGCCATTTTACTCCTTAACTAGTGGCCGTGGCCCTACTTCCCTACGTAGTACTCTGACTAGTGTAAGCAGCCTTAATGCTGCTAACTATGGAATAGTTAGTAGCTGACGCCATGACACCAATCGATCTGGCCAGTTATCCGTCCGGCGTGTCTTCTGCCTGCACATGTGAGCGGCAGGCACATTAAGTGGCTGTGTTGGGGGTTGTTGTTGGTTACTCATTGTCTGGAGAGCACTTTAGGGAATGAATGAATTCCTTTCTCACACATTCTCTCACACACTCTCTCCTTATTGCTGCTACTGCTGATGCTGATGCTCTGGTGGAGTCAATGCGTTATTGATAAAGTCGCCCATATCCCCTCTCTTCTCCCCTCCTTCTCCTGAAATATATTCCTATTGTATCGTCCCCTGTTCATCTCTGCTATCGACGCAAGTTGTATCTAGGAATTCCCGGTATAGCTTCATTCGCCATCCATTAGGGTAAGTCAGATCTCTTTATGCTCCCATTGTCTCGTTGTACCTCCGACTGTACGAACAAACCCCTTGTCTAATTTCCTCTTTCTTCTGCACTCCTTCTCCCTCTTTTATGGCCATTTATGGCCCTAATGCACCGCCCACCTGCTTATAAACAATAGGATTCTCTTCACTGGGAACTACTATATATCCCATACACAAACCGGATTGCTCCTCATGTCCACCCACATCCTCACGCAGGACAGATAAACCGACACATCCACACACTCCTAGTACACACACACTCTCTCTCTCTCTCCAACCATCTACCACACATCACAAAAATGAGCACCATCCCCAGCGTCCACATCAACGACAAAAGCCCCATAGAGGACCGCGACACCTCCTCCACCTCCCCAACCACCCGCAAATCCCTGCACCAGAACATCTTTGGCAAACTACGTCCCCTCCCCTTTCAATACCATTGGACAGTCTGGTACGACCGCCACACCGACGCCCCAGCAGCAGCAGCGTCAGCATCAGGCGCAACCGCAACAGCAGACTACGACTCGCGTCTCTACCTCCTACACGAGGATGTCGCCGACATCGCCACCTTCTACCGCGTCTACAACAACTACCCGTGGGACAAGATCCGTCTGCGCGACACCGTCCACATCTTCCGCAAAGGCGTGAGACCCGTCTGGGAAGACCCCGAGAATCAGAACGGGGGGTGCTGGCGCTTCCGCGTTCCGAAGAGTAAAGCCCAGGCGTTTTTTCATGAGATTGCCATTTTGTGTATGGCGAATGAGTTTCAGGCGGTTTTGGAGAAGGGTTAGCTTTCCCCTGTCCCCACTTTTCTTTCTTTCTGTTGTGTTGTTGTTGTTGTTGTTTTCTATGATATGGATCATCAACTAATAGAAGTAAACTTGTGAGTTATGGGAGATATGATAGTACTAACCAAAGAATTGAGGAATATAGAACACGACCACGTCCTCGGCGTCTCCACCTCCGTCCGATTCAACTCGCATCTCATCTCCGTATGGAACAAGCTCGGCTCCAATGAACGGTCCATCAAGGCTCTCGAACAAACTATCATCGATCGATTATCTCCTGAATTAAGGCCCACGGGGACGGGTTCCACTGCGTACTTTTATAAGCGGCATGATGAGAATGAGGGGTTCAAGGAGGCGGTGGAGAGGAGTAAGACTTGATTTTGGTTCTTTTCTATGGGAAACTTTGGATAGTTGGTATGCTAAGTAGGTGCTTGAGAGAAATTGGGTTCTCCGGATAGAATATGGGAAGGGTGGTGGAGCATGTATGTATGTATGTATGTATGTATGTGCATAGTAGATTTCATTCATGGGATAGAGATGTTTTCGAGTGCGGTATTATATTATGTTTTGGTTGTAAGTGGAAAAGTAGAAATGGTATATCGGTGTATAACTACCGTGATAGAGAGAGATACTGCTAATAGAATTCAAGATTACCTTGTAGGGCCTACTTTCCTAGCTAGTGTATGCTATGAGGCATATAGAGCATGACGACTATACCACACTAGTATATTCCAGCCGGGTAGTAAGTAGTTCGCTGGACAAACAATTGATGATTATCTTATGAGCGAAGAGCTGCGTTCAGATACGAATATGTACTAGGAAGTAGTAGTAACAATAGATAAATGACCTACACCATCAAATAACACCCAGCAGTAGTAATAAATGTCTATCCATGAGATTCATTACCTTGGTATATTACAATCGATTATATCGTTTCCATCGTCCCTCCCTCCCTCCCTCCATCATCCCATCCTAGGAATAGGCATAGGCATCTCACCTCCCATCACTCCTCCGGCTCACACTCCTCCTTCTCGCCCTCCTATCATCTCCCTCCCGCTCCCTATCCCTCTCTCTATCTCTATCTCTCTCCCTATCCCTATCCCTACCGTTAGTCTCACTATCACGTTCACGCTCACGCTCACCACCACCAGTAGCAGTAGCAGTAGCAGCAGCAGTAGCACCAGGAATATACCGATCAATCTCAACAAAGCGTGGTCTATCACGCTCATCTTTCTCCGCTCGTTCCGGCGATCGCACCCTCCGACGAGGAGACCGGCTCCGACGACTAGTAGGCGGTACGTAGCGATCGATATCGAGGAGACTCGGCGAGCGGCGTCGACTGCGTGATCGTCGGCGCGAGCGGGACCGTCGTCGTGAGGATACTGATACGCGGCGGGGAGGGGATTTCTCCTCTTTGGGGGGAGGGTCGGCGCGGTCGCGGTCTCGGCCTCGATCTCGTTCGCGGTCGGTTGTGTCACGGGGACGGGCGTCTCGGTCTCGGTCTCGGTCTCTGTCACGATCTCGGACGTCTCTGTCGCGGTCACGGTCTCGGTCACGGTGGGCGGAGCGGGAGCGTGTGCGGGAGCGGTATCGGGGTCTTGATCGGGATCGGGAGTAGTAGCTGCGGCGGCGGCGGTAGTCGTCTCGATCGCGGTCTCGGTCACGGTCTCGAGGTCTGTCGCGGTCTCTGTCTCTGTCTCGGTCCCGGTCTCGATCCCGGCGATCTCGGTCTCGATCACGGCTGCGGTCGCGGCGGTAGTCATGGTCGCGGTCACGGTCTCTGTCATGATTTCGAGTAGTAGATCTGCTTCTGCTCTGGCGGCTGGGGCGATAGCTCCGGTCACCGTATCTGTTATCGCGGAAGTCGCGAAGAACCAGTCGGTCATCCGAGTCACGATTGCGGGGCTGGCTGGATACATCGCGCGAACGCTCTGGACGGTCATCGTCAAACCGGGAGGAGAACCTCCGTCGTGAGCGACTGCGGCTCTCGTCGCGCCTCTTTGTCCGGGGGCGATCGTCTGCTGTTGATCCGCGTCGTCGATTGGGCTCGGCCTCGACAGCCGGACTACCTGCCTTGGTCGGAGTGTTGGAGAATCTCGAGTCAGCCTTGGGTCCTTTCGGCGGCGGCTTGAGACCATTTTCGATGGCCTCCGCTTCCTCAAAGTCGAACTCGGGCTTCTGTCGTGCTTTGGCTGCTAGCTCTTCTCCCTCCTTCAGCAGAAGTTGTAGCGCCGCCTCCTCCAACGACTTCTCGTCCACTGGCGGCGCCGCTGGCGCAGCTGCAGGCGTGGGTTCTTTCGGAGTCGGTGACTTTTCTTTGCGCGAGTCGCGATACCGTGGGGAGTGGGCGCGGTCAGAGCGATAGCCTGGCGAGCGATCTCGGTAACGGTAACGATCTCTATCCCTATCCCTATCACGATCTGAATCACGGTCTCGAGTTCGGCTTCGATCGCGCCAATCGCGATATCTGTCGCGCTCTTCGCGGCGGCGGCGTTCGTAGCGTTCCTGTCGTTCCTTTTCTCTCTGCTCATCCAGCTTTCGCTGCTCTTCGCGGCGCTGTTCCTCGCGCTCCCTCCTCCTGGCCCTCTCTTCTTCTTCTTTCTGGCGTTCCAACTCACGTCGCTTGCGATCCTCCTCCGCCTTCTTGCGCGCTTCCTCTTCTTCAATCTCCTTTTGTTTGCGCAGCTCCTCCTGCCAGACCTTTTCGCGCTCGTCGCGTTTCGCCTTCACATGAGCGGCGTAGTCCTCATCAGTCTTGTTCCCTGCGGTTTCCTCCTGCGCGGCAAGCTCCTCGCCCACCTCGTCGCGACGGATATCGCGCACGGAATCCAGAATAGCGGGGAGATGTTTCTCGGCTAGCGCATCAAGGGTATGTTCGACAGTTTTGTAGACATCGCTTCGATCCACCGCACCTTCGATCAAAGTTGCAGCTTTTCCACGTTCGCGAGAAAGAAGACCGGGTTCGCGGTCGATTTCAGATTCAGCAAGTTCGACCAGTAGTTTCGTAAACTCAACCTTCCCTTCCTATATAACCAAGGCGCATTAATTAGCAAACAACAAACCGTCACTCAGAAAACGAAACAACAGCAATAAAAAAACAATCAAAGATAAAATAAATACCCCATCATGGAATTCAGACCATATCTTCTTCCGAATAGTATCAAACCCACCCCTCTTCTTGAACGCGTGTAGCAAATGCTCAATGGCCGAATGCTGCGCCGCGGACAAAGGCAGCTCATCCGTCTTGAACTTCTTCCGCTGCAGACTGTCCAGATCCATAGAAGAAGACGTAGTAGGCCGCTTCACAACTGCTGTCACATCCATCATCTCCTCTGGACCAGCCATGACGAGAGATAGAGATGTTACAAGCCTGCAATAAATTTCCAAGCTTGGGGGATATTAGAACAGAGGCTTTGGGAAAAAAAGGACTGTAACTTCCGGGGATAAACCCGCAAATGCGGCGCGCAGGACCCGACCAAAAGGCACCACCACCGCCCGGCAGAAACAGCCCTCCCACGGCGGAACGATAATCCGGACAACAGGAAACGCAGATTGGGAACCACGGCCCCGTGATTCGCCGGGTGTGTGAAGGTCGAACCTCATCTCCGTCCATTCAAGCCCGTGTTGGTCCGCAATTGTTGTCGTGAAGTTGAACATTGGAACCTTGTTGCGGCTTTCGATCAATTTACATTCTTTGAATTACCTTCCGCCGCGAATCCCCCTCTTTTCCTCCACATCAATCATGGTTCACAAAGTCCTCTTCTGGGGCGGCTTCGGTATGTTCACCACATCCACACCACCCACCCTTGCTATACCAGCACGCAACTGCTAGCTAGCTAGCAAGCTATATCCCACCCGGTCCCCTTAGATCGAATTGCTCGCCATGTCATACCGCACGTACTAATAACTCCTCCAACAGGCATCGCCGTCCGTCTCTGGCAACTCGGTATCGAAATGCGTCCCATCCTCGCCAAGGAGTCCCTCTGGGTGTACCCCCTCTTCGCCGGAGTCGGAGGCAGCTTCGGTTACTGGCTGCAGGGCGTCGAGAACCGTCAATTGAGAATTCTTGCACAGCGCCGGGAAGCTATCCTGGAGAAGCGCCGGAGGAGAGACGAGCGCGAGTCGGTGGGGTTGAGCAAGCCTGAAGAGGCGGGTGTTTTGGCTGCGGCGGCATAAATGAATGTGATATGTGTTGCGAAGATGAAGGATAGGAAGAATTGTGGGTTGGTTGGGTGCTAGAGCTGGCCGGAAAACTGAGGCTTTTGTACATTGCGTTTGTTGTGAATTCTATTATATTACATTATATCATTCATTTCCTGAGTCGCGGTGATGGTGTTTTTGACGGTTTCTGAGGGATTGGAGGGAGGAAGTCTATGAAAAATGGTCCGGAGATCTGGATCTGGACTTGATGGTATTTGATTGACGAAAGGAGATGGTTATAGATCTATCTCAGGTGTCTTACTATGTCGGTTGTATCGTCAAAGAGATATTGAGGGTAGGAAGGTCCTGTGATAGTTGCAGAATGATCCTATCGTTATTTAGACCTATGAGTAATCGCGAGTGTACTGCTCATAGATAGAATAACTCTTCCACTGCCGTGTTGTTGCCGATATAGATGGCACCATTCAAACTAACACCGTGTTGCCCCGGATGACCTTTCCAGAATCGCTATAAACGCACTACTAGACATGATAGTAGTAGTGATTGCTGCCTACGGAGAGGTGGGAAGTTCTGCAGGAAAGACACCGTCTACTTCCGGTACCAGGTATTTACTCCTAAAGAGAGGACACAGACAGCATGATGCCATTCCCAGTAAAACGTATTATTATTCCGGTATATCTTCATTGAATCCAAATATGATCGTATATGTACAGCATGACAACTGCCAGCTCATGCCTTCTCGGCCGTGAACTGCAGCGAAACTTCCCATTTCTGCCCTCCAGACCCGTACCCTCCGCCCAATCGATTCTTGATAAGGCTGGCTATCCGTTCACGCAGTCGCACTAGGTTCTCTTCAGTCCCGGATACGCGGAGCTTCAAGTTGGCCATGCAGAGCCCGTAATGAACCTGCCAGAACCGGGCATCATCGACGCCGTAGACGCAGGGATCGGCCTCGATATCCCGGATCACCTCGGATACCCCCGGTCCGGAGTAGGACATGAGAAGCATGGATCCCAGTGTTTTCACTAAACGCACTCCAATAACACACATTGAGATGGAGATCGTGCTGGAAAGCAAAACATCCAGCCAGTTGTAGAGCTTGATAGAGACAAGGGGCAGCAACAGGAGCAGTGTGGAGCATGAGAGCGTCAGGAAATGGGACGGGTTACTAAGAACCGAGGGAAGCGACTCAATGTACCCGAACCGCATCGCCTTCCCTATCCGTCCATGGTTCTTGAGGCCAATGGCAGAGATCAAGGTCGATGAGATGGCCAGCAGAGCAGTGAAATCCACACGACCGAGGGAGACGCGTTCGTGGACATGCGTATGGTGAGGCTCATGGCCGGAGGATTCAAGAAAGTGTTGCAGACTATGGGAAATGAGATCCATTCC